GATCATATCACGTTGAAACACCGGTTCTTGTATGATCACCGAAGCTAAGCAACATTGTTCCTGGTCAGTACCTCGATGAGTGACCACTTTATAAGATCATGTGTTGTAAGTTGGGATGTGCGTATTGAATTGTATAATAAATAACGAATTAGAAATCGGAGAGCCGAGTTCCAATTCCAGTCGGGTTCATTACATTAACTTACGTGCAATTGATTGTTTCGTTTTCTACGGTTTATAAACCCTTTACTGGTTATTTAAAATCAGAAAATATATTTTAGATTTGTAAGAATTCTTTTTAGCTAAAAATGGTTTAGTTAATGGTCTGACCTCTCTCTCTCACGCTCTCATTCACACACAATATATATATATATATATATATATATATATATATATATATATATATGTATGTATGTATGTATGTATACCAGGCGTAACAACAAACTTGTCTATTTGTTAGTTTAAGCTCTGAACCGTTGTATCTTACAAATGATTAAAGATATGTTTTACTGGAATTCTCCGATATTTTTATAATACTACAGGACACTACATTGAGCAATAAGAATGTATAGTTACTCTCCAAGCTTAACAGAAGAATCGTGATGAAATCAATCATAAACGAAAATGGCATGTTCATCATTAATTAATCATAGCTAAGCACCGGAAGTTCATGAAATATTAAAAATAAGTTCCGGTGCTTAGCCATGATTAATTAATAATCAACACGCCATATTCAACATGATCTTCGCCCTCTCTAACCTTCTAACTTTATGTCCTGGAATAAAAAGGTGTCTCACATGTTTCACGGACGATTTCATTTTCAAACCTTTTTTCACTACTGTCATAGCTGAAACTTTTCTCTCATGTGGCAAACGTCTTATGGGTTGTATTGGATCATTCCTAATTAATTCTTTAGCTCAAAGTTCATATGATGATCCCTCTTCCTGTTGTAACCACCTGATCCAATTTTCCTCTCTATTGTTCCCTCTTTATAAACTTATCGTTCCTTTGAGGGTTCTTGGATGGACTTTGAAGACGGAAGCCAGAGAATGAATGTTCGTACCATAACTGAAGGCCTGAATAATATTTTTACTCTTACCATTGCTTAGTTGAGAAGAGAGTGGGTCTGACACAAAACGATTTTAACCTGTTGTCTTTCTAGCTGAATAACTCAAAGGGCGTTTCATTGATTCTTACGGCAAATTGTGTAAAGATGGCTAATCATCTTATCAGAAAACATAATAAAAAGAAACTCAATTAGTTCAGTGGTTTTATAGATATTAATCATTTTCGGAGATGTATAATTTTGCTGTTGCACCCAGTATAGTGTGTGTGTGTGTTTCAGGCTAAGTTATATGCAAATTATGATATATACATACATACATACATATATATATATATATATATATATATATATATATATATATATATTTTGTGTGCTTAGGCAGCAATTCTTCTTTCATGCACAGTTCATTGAAAACGACAGATAAAATAAATAAAATAAAAGCACCTTGTCTGTCGTTTTCAATGAAAATGTGCATATATATATATATATATATATATATATATATATATATATATATATATATATATATATATATATATATATATATATATATATATATATAATATATATATATATATATATATATATATATATATATATATATATATATATATATATATATATATATATATATATATATATATATATATATATATATATATATATATATATGTGTGTGTGTGTGTGTGTGTGTGTGTGATGAGACAAAATGGAAACGCTATAAACGACACGTTTCATTTTACAGCTATTGCTTTCGACTTCTTCAGGTCATAATGAGTGAGTAAAATAGGTTGATATCTCCACTATAATTTTGGATACTATTATATAACATGCAAACACAAATTTTATACCACAGAATTTATTCATTGGTTTTAAAATGACAAATCGCATTCTTTATATATATATATATATATATATATATCAGCCATGCGTTAAATACGCTTAGACCATCATGTATCTTTTGATACACGACTGTCGAGGCAGATTTTTTTTCTCCCCGCAGCCATTTCTTTCTGCGGTAGACCAGTTGACATCCAAGACTATATAACCCGTCAGAAGAAGAGGATTCATACCTTTCCCAATGGTATTAGTACGTAAGTGAATGTAATGGATTCGACTAGAATTCGAACTCGGTCCTCCGATTCCTCAATCCGAGTCGCTATCCATTACACCACCGTGCCTCCTTCATCTTCATTTTCATCTACCGGCCTGAATATTCAAGAAATCTTATTAACGAAAAATATGCGCCCTCCGCCAGGATTTGAACCTGCGTATCCGTGGGCAGAGGGGAACCGTTGTCAGATCCGACGTGGCTTAAGAGTATCCACAAAAATATCATATATATATATATATATATATATATATATATATATATATATATATATATATATATATATATATATATATATATATATATATATATATATATATATATATATATATCGTATATTTTTTGGAAGCGTGCTTTCCTTAAACAATTCAGACAAGTTTTATCGACTTAGTTTTAATATGATCCTCTCATATTCACAGAAAGCTTCTTAGTATCGTTATTAAATGAAGAAATCCAGTTACAATATTAATGCATATTCATTTATTCCTTCATGGACATGGTAATTTTCTCTTTTCCTTTAATAAGGATGCTAAGACGCTTGTCCGTGAATATGACGGGATCCTATTGAAAATAAGTAGACAAAACTTGTTTAAATTATGAGACATTATATATAGAATTAATGTAAGTAAAATTTTTCACTTAGCTGATTGATCTTACCTTCAGAATACCGACGCCAGAGTTTCGTAGAGGGACCTGCTCGTCCACTCTTCAGAACTTATCAGCAATTTACTGCAAATATTTCTTCAATTTTAAGACCCGAAGATTGCGTACAAGCATGATACAGACTGTCGCCGCTCGGTGTCGACTTCAATGAAAACTTTTATAATTACATACGCTCTATCCCTTACATAGACCACTTTTACCCATAAATGTAGCATACTTTAAAACTATATTTTATTATATATATATATATATATATATATATATATATATATATATGCGTATGTGCGTGTGTGTGTGTGTGTGTGTATCTGTGTCTGTGTTTTTGACCATCCCGATCACGGAAATCTATAATTAATAAACGGAGCGTCTACTCAAATATGGGCATCCACTAAAATATAACGTTTAAATAATAAAATTTGGAGGATTGAATAATAAAAATCCATGACTTCTTTAGAAATTGCTTTGTTTAAGTTAGGATGGGAAACAAAGTAGATATAGATGCTTCGAGACTCCGGGAAAGATTTCTCTTTATAAGAAAGTATTCATCTTAGCTTCGATCGATGACACACACACACACACACAATATATATATATATATATATATATATATATAAACTCGATTATAATTTGTGTCTCATTATTTATAATTTATATTGCTTTTAACATTGCTTCCGCATCTAGTCTAGTGTTTCTACTATATATTTAGAGATTTTGATAAAATCAATGAAGAATCTGCAATGTAATTGGCCCTGACCTGGCATCTCAGATTCAGTCCCTTCTTCATCGCTGTAAGGTAGCTTCCCTCTGCCTTTTCTTCATAATTGTTCAGATGTAATTTCCGCTAGGTTACCTCGACTCTATGAATTTGAATGTCACACGATTGGTTGGTAAGTTTCTTCTATCGCACTTCTTGCTTGTGGAACTCTTTCCCGGCTTTGTGCGTCCCACTCAACTTTTAACTTCAAAAATTTAAATGCAATGTCAATTGTTATCTTCTGTCTTCTTAATTATTGTTCTTTTATTGCCTTTCCTTCTTAATAATAGTTTTTCTCAAATTACTTATTACTCAATAACCCCCTTGCGTCTTAGTGGCTTTATTGCCTTCTTTGGGGGTGAAATGATTTTTTTAAAAAGTTTATTTGCTTTTATGACAATATTTTTGACTGATCATTTGTAATTTACTCCGTTCTCTTCTGCGAGTAAATAGTCATTTGTTTGTTTTAAATCTAAAGGAAAAGAAAGAAACATTAACAGAAATATGAAACTTTAAACCTGATATATAATTGTCATCAAGTAAGCATTGTTTAAGAGACAAATGCACTCACATGACGTGAAAAACAACTTCATGGGAATATTTTGCCATGAGAAAAGAAGACAGTTGAGAAGAAAGCGTTATCAGAACGATTTTATTTTTAGAACAGAAAGAAATGCAACTTGCCGAGAAAAATGCTTGCATTGCAAATCCATCTGCGTTGTGCCATAAAACAATGCCTTCACATGTTAGATTTTTCTTTTTTGTATTCAGCATGCCAGACCAGAATCTGCTTCCATATTCTCTAAATGACAGCAACCATCATCAGAAAGCTGGGATGGGTGTGTGTGTGTATAGGAGGGAATACGCACACAATAGAGAGAATTGAGGAACTTTGTTCCAAGAGCTGTCTTGGACGAGTTGAAGTTATCTCAGCAAAGATCTAGTTTTGAAAGGCTTATAAATTAATTTAGCTTGATGATAGTACTAATCTAAAGAACCTTTTCAGCCTTTTCATTTTTTTTTTAATCATGTCGCTCCAAGCAAGGCGGGAATGCCACTAGTACGCAGGGGAATTACAGAGAGTAAAAATGAGAAAAAAGTCTGAGAATAGAGAGGATTGAGGAAAGGACAAAAGATGAACGGAATTCGAAATGATAGACGGCGATTCACGTTGCATTTAAATTTTGTGAATCATTTCACCCTAAGCAAGGCGTGTACGCAGGGGAGAGAGTGAGAATGAGAGAAAAGACTGGGAATAGGAAGGATTGAGGAAAGGAAAAAAAGATGACGAGATTAAAAAAGATAGAAGATGATGATTGACGTGGCATTTAAATTTTGTGAATCATTTCACCCCAAGCAAGGCGTTAATGCCACTAGTACGCAGGGGAATTACTGAGAGTGAAAATGAGATAAAAACTGAAAATAGGGAGGACTGAGGAAAGGACAAAAGATAAACGGGATACAAAAAGACAGAAGATGACGCTTGACCTTGCGTTTAAATTTTTTAAGATTATAGTT